GGATATTAGCTTTTAAAGGAAATAAAAAAGTTGTTGCTAAAGTTTTAAAAAAAGCAATTTTAAGTTGTTAAAAATTAAAAAAAAGAAATGAAAGAGTTAATAATAAATAAAAAGAAATTAATAAAATATGTAAGTTTTAGAAAGCTCTTTCCATGGCCTGTTTTTAAATAAAAAAGTGTTTGAAGTCAAAGGTTATTAAGTGCAAATTATTGATATGAAAAAAGGAAATGATCACCGCAATGCCAAAAAACAGTTGTTGTTTTAAAAAGGTAAATTTAAAATTATTAATTTCACTTATTAATTCAACAGTAGTATTTTATAAAAAAAACATCCTTAAAAAAGTTTTATAACTGTGAACTATATTCATATATTTTTTAAAAGAATTTTTCTATAGAAAAGTTTATAAAAAACTTGAATACCCTAGGTCCTTCGCTACCCAGACATACATAAAAAATTTTGATTACTTTTATAGAAAATTTGTATTGATTAAAAGTTTTTTTAATGTTTCTTTTTTTACGTTCAATTTTATTGAAATTTATAACGTGAATAAATTCGCATTCAGTAAGGAACGTATATTCTTAATTCCATTCATTTAGAAAATTTCAAATGTACCATCTGAAAAATTAAAAAGTACAAAAAATTATCATTTAATAAGGACCGTATGTCATCTGTTCCGGTTCTCCATTATAGAGAATTCAAAAGGTACCACTTGAAGGTGTCTTATGTACATATTTCTAAATTATATTTACAAATTTTGTTATGATCGGTCCATAATTGCCTCTAGGTCTCAAATAAGGCCCTTTAAGAAAATCAGTTTAAAAATTATAATTAATAAAATAATTAAACATATAATTAATGAAATTTAACATGGACAAGTTTTATATGAAAATTAATCATTTTACTAAATTTTATTATTATCGGTTAATAATTGCCTTTAGGTGCCGCATGAGATCCCTTATGAAAATCTGTTAAACATTGATAATTGACATAAAAATATTAGTATCGCAAATCAAATTTATCTTGAAAGGGTTTTATATGAATGTAAATCATTTAACCAAGTTTTGTTATGGTGTATAAAAACACTTTTTAATTTGTGAATAATTTCTAGGTACGATATTATTTTTGTACATTTTTAATTAAAAAGGGTAGATTTTAAAAAAATAACAGCAAATATAATTGCGCAAACTTTTTTTCATGTTCCTGAAAATATAGATTTCATATTTTACTGCGGTATAGAACAATTTCTGATTTTTCTTTCTACTTTCAGTTGCAAACATTTTATATATTTTTTGGTATTTTTTCAATAAAGCGAAACTTTTTATAAAATCTTTAAAAATAATTGCGCAAATTTACGCAAACTTTTTTTTATTGTTTGTGAAAATAGAGATTCTATGTTTTATTGCAATGTATAACAATTTTTGAATTCTTGCTACTCTTCGTTGCAATAATCTTATTTTATTCCAAGAAAGGGATTTTTTTTAATTTTTCAAAAAAGTGGAACTTTTTATAAAACCCCCAAAATAATTGCTCAAATTTACGCAAACTTTTTTTATTGTTTCCCAAAATAGATATTCTATATTTTATTGCGGTGTATAACAATTTTTGAATTCTTGCTACTTTTCGTTGCAATAATCTTATTTATTTTATTCCAAGGAAGGGAATTTTTTTTTAATTTTTCAAAAAAGCAAAACTTTTTATAAAATCCCCAAAAATAATTGCTCAAATTTACGCAAACTTTTTTTATTATTTCTGAAAATAGAGATTCTATATTTTTTTGCGGTGTATAACAATTTTTGAATACTTGCTACTTTTCATTGCGATAATCTTATTTTTTGATAGAAAAGTGGTAAATTTTTTTAATTTTTCAAACAAGTGAAATTTTCAAAAAATCTTCAAATAAAAAAAAAATTGCGTAAATTTACCCAAACTTGCTTTCTTGTTTCTGAATATAGAGAGTGCATATGTTGCTGTGGTATATACTAGGGTTCTATAAATCGACTTTCGAATAATCGAACAATCGACTTTTTGTCGAAAAGTCGAAGTCGACTATTTTGTTCCAAAAAGGTCGATAACTCGACTATCGTCTATTAAAAAAGTCGTCTTTGTAAATAAAAGTCGAAAAAAGTCGAAAAGAATAAAAAAGTCGAACAGTCTAAAAAGTCGATAAAAGTCGGAAAAAGTCGAAAACTCGAAAATAGTGGAAAAAAGTAAAAAATAGTAGGAAATTTTAAAAAAGTGGAAAAAAGTCAAAAACTTTAAAATAGTCGGAAACACTCAAAAAAAGTCAACAAATAGTCGAAAAAAGTCGAGAGAATGCAAAAATAGTCAAAAAGTCGAAAAATCGGAAAAAGTCGTAAAGTCTACTATTTATAAAATACTAAAAGTAGAAAAATCGACTTTTCATAAAATACAAAAAGTCGACTTTTAACTAAATGCAAAAAGTCGACTTTTCGTTTCAACTATAGAACCCTAGTATATATGTACATTAAACTAACTAAAAACTACTTTCACCTTTAAAATCCTTATCTCTTTTTTTTGGAAGTGTAAAAAAGTATAAAATATTTATTATTTTTAAATTTTGAACAAATTATTCTGACACTACTATATAAGATAAATACATATTAAAACAAAAAATCTAAATTAAAAGGTGGTCCACCTTTCAAATAAAAACAAACCTCTATTAGTTTAGCCCCAAAAAATAACACAAAAACCTGTTATAATGATAAAAATTTAAAAAGGCATTTAATTTTCTTCACTTTCCTGTCTTTGACTTCGTCTCAAAACTACAAATCTCAACTTAAAAATTCACTATATTATGTAGAATTTTGTTTTCTATCGAACTGTATACTCAGTTTTTTAAATTTCTTTAAATTCATTTTTGCCTTTTTTGCCAGGTTTTCAGGTTAAATGCCTTATAATGCGCTGGGCGAACTCAAGTATTCATAATTACCCATCCCTGCTATATTCTAAAAAGAGCACAATCAAAAACCTTCATCTACTTTAAAGCAACCATATACTTACATGCATTCATACATATGTATAAACAACTCTTTTTTAAGGTATGTATATTTATGATGTATCTTCATAAAAGTCTTATTACTGTCAAATTTCTTTATATGACATTTGACATTATTATGTCACTAATTTAAATACAAGTCTATGTATAAAAAATTATGAGCTGACAGCTCCCACACACTTGTATGAATGCGCTCCTAGCCTTCCTTATTGTTGTTCTTGTATCATCATACTTAACTAATACAAACTGGTACCTTTGCACTAAAACTATTGCATTTCCTACTTTTTCCTCTCTCTCAAATAATCACATCATAATTTTGGTCTGCGCACTGCACTATTTATGGCAATTCTGCAAATAACTACGTTTACTCTTTCTAGACAGTTAATACTAAATACATTTAAACCTGTTGCTAAGCTTTTTGCGCATACAATCTGTCTCTTTCTATTTTTTTTTCGGATTACTCGACTAAATTCTTCCTTCTCGTCTTGTTAATTAGTTCTTCGTGTGATGTCTTCTTAATAAAACGTTCGTCTTCCGGTAGTTTCGTAATAAAAAAATTATTTAGAAATAGAATAGTTATTAAATTTTCATATTGAAAATAGTGAATAGAACATAACAAGTTTTTTAAGAAAATCTTAAATTTTATTAATACATGGCGTTAAATAGTAGTAAATTTGTTAAGAAAATAGTTAAATTGTTAGGAAAAAATGTGCTGCCGGCAGCGCAGTCGTGACGGAAAAAATTTGTATTCAATGTTTGTGAAGTTTTGCAAATTCTCTCATGTTCGATTTTCTTTGAAAGAGTGTTTTGTTACGCAGTGGGAGGTTTGAGTGAGTGAACAAATACAAGTAAATAAAAAGAGAGCATGCAAGAAAATAAAGAGTAAATATATGAAATATAAAGTAAAAGCTCCAACTATGGCCTGTTTTTTATTAAAGCAAAAGTTTTTAAAAGTGTGAGAGTGTGAAAGCGTTTTGTTGGTTATTAGCTTTTAAAGGAAATAAAAAAGTTGTTGCTAAAGTTTTAAAAAAAGCAAATTTAAGTTGTTCAAAATTAAAAAAAAAGAAATGAAAGAGTTAATAATAAATAAAAAGAAATTAATAAAATATGTAAGTTTTAGAAAGCTCTTTCCATGGCCTGTTTTTAAATAAAAAAGTGTTTGAAGTCAAAGGTTATTAAGTGCAAGTTATTGATATTAAAAATGATCACCAAAAAGCGAAGAAACTAGTTACTGTTGCAAAAAGGTAAATTTAAAATTATTAATTTCACATAAGAATTCAATAACATCTATATGTATATATAAAAGAGTAGCGTTACTGACTGACTGATTCATCATCGCACAGCCCAAACGGCTGAACCTAAATAGAATCATTATTGGTTATGCAGATCCAATAAGAGGGCTTTTTTGGAAATTTGTACATTTAGGGGGAAAACGGTTAAAACAGGTTTTCTTAATTATCTTACCCAATATAAGTGATACAGGAATAATTTTAAATGCATCTGTATCTTCTCTTAATATAAGCAGATGGGTGTCTGGTACTTTTTTGAAATGCGTACTTTTAAAGGGTGAAAATGTGTAAAAATTGTGATTTTCGTACCTTTTTTGGCACTTTATAACGTTTTAACTAATAAACCTAATACATTTTTTGTAAATATTTTGGATAAATCTTTTAAAGTTATGAGACACCTGTTTCGTACTTTTTTTTTAAAATTCAGTTCTTTTTGGGTGTTAAAGGGAGAAAACTGTAATTTGGGTACTTTTTTTTTAACACATTAAGAAAACTTTTTTGATTTATTGAAGTATTCCTATTAAAGTACGGACTAACTCTGCAATATTTATTGAAACAAAATTTTTGCTATCTCACTGGGGAAAAAAGTACCATAAAGGGGAAAAACGGGAAATTGAATTTTATTTAAACTCATTGAGCCAATTTTTATAAAATCGTTAATAGTTAAGTTACTCACACAAAATAAGCTATTGGTATATTATTTTGGAATTCGGCTACTAAGCCCTATATAGGACTTGGAATTCGCGTAAATTGTTTGGTACATACATACATATGTATTTATAGAAAATGAATTTGAATCAATTTACAAAAATCAACAGATTTTATTTATTTCATTTTGTTTTTCATTCAATTTTTCGCCAAACTGTGAATTTGTCTCAATGGTTGAATTCCTCAATTGCTCATCCAAATCCTTTAATTGATTTAGCATTTTCTCTGTCGACTGCTGCACTGAAACCAAATGATTATTGAGTAGTTTTTGTACAGCTGCTTGTGTAGAATTTTGCAATTGTTGAATTTCTATCTTCCAATCATCTAACACACTTTTAGTACTTTGTATTTTATTATCAATTTCGGTTTGCTGTTGTTTTTGTTTCTGTACGAAATCCTCTGAAATTGATGAACTTGATTGTATGACACCATCACATTTATTCTTAAGATTTTTATTACAGGTTTCGACATAATGATTGATTTCACATATGAAGCCCATTTTTTCAGTACAGTCAATATCATTCCATTTATAGGCAGACTTATGGTCCCAGATGTGAGCACAGTGTTCATTTTTTCGATTATTGTCGGGTTGATTGTCCGACCAATAGCTAAATACGATTCGTTTTCCTGTGGCCGCCCAGTAAAAAGGTCGTGTGACAGATTTTTTAGAACTAAACTCATCATTACCGCCCAACCATAAATTACTAGATTTTCCTATGACTTTTTTCAATAGATCGATAATGTTTAAATTTTTAGCTTGCGAATCAATTACAGTTAGTTGAAGATTCCTTCGCGCACATTCATGCCAAGCTTGATACCAGTTGTACTAGAAATTAAAGACTTTCTGTGTTAATTTTTTAGTTATTTCTTCTATGAGCGAAATAAAGTACCTTTTTATCTGTTTCTATTAGATATTCTCTGCCATCTAATGCTTTATAATAATATGGTGTACTGGATATTGCCTTTAGCAATGCAAGGCAAATAAAGAGAACTTGTATAATCGCTTTAAATAAATGCATTGCTTAACCTGCCGAACTTAAATGTTTAATTGTTTTTAAATATGAAAACTATATATACTTACTAGGAAAGTAATTACAGCTGTTATTAAGTAATTTAATCAAAATTGATAAGTTTTATAAAATTTGATTAAACACTTGTAAATTTTGTATATTTAATAATTTTTATTGTTTTTTCAATTTTGTTTCTATTTCAATATATGTATTATTATTGTATTATAGTTGATTATTAAAATTTAAACAATGTTACTACAGTATACACGGACAAAATATTATTGATTTATATATTTAAAATATTCTCATAAATCTATTTAATTAAAATGGAAGACATTTTATGTGTTGGATAAACATCTTATACGATTCAAACCCATTTTGTAAAAGAAAGATCTAATTGCATTTTATTGCTTTCTTCTTGAAACAATCTCTGTAGGTTCCGAGAAACAGATTTTTAAGGATCTCATATAGGATTCGTATTAATGTACTGACGACGAGCAAAATAGAAAATGTATATTGTGGGAAACATAAAAAAAGATTTTTCGCTTACAAATAACTACTTCAATAAGTACTTACAAATACGTATTAAAAAAGTTGTTTTGTTTACGTACAAAAATAAATACTCACAAAGAATACGAACCTGAGGCCCATATATGGGCTTTTTGTTCGTTAGTTCGCTGTCTCACTGTAATACTGAAATAACTAACTAACTAACTAACTAACTAACTAACTAACTAACTAACTAACTAACTAACTAACTAACTAACTAACTAACTAACTAACTAACTAACTAACTAACTAACTAACTAACTAACTAACTAACTAACTAACTAACTACTACTAACTAACTAACTAACTAACTAACTAACTAACTAACTAACTAACTAACTAACTAACTAACTAACTAACTAACTACTAAATAACTAACTAACTAACTAACTAACTAACTAACTAACTAACTAACTAACTAACTAACTAACTAACTAACTAACTAACTAACTAACTAACTAACTAACTAACTAACTAACTAACTAACTAACTAACTAACTAACTAACTAACTACTAACAACTAACTAACTAACTAACTAACTACTAACTAACTAACTAACTAACTAACTAACTAACTAACTAACTAACTAACTAACTAACTACTAACTAACTAACTAACTAACTAACTACTACTAACTAACTAACTAACTAACTAACTAACTAACTACTAACTAACTAACTAACTAACTAACTAACTAACTAACTAACTAACTAACTAACTACTAACTAACTAACTAACTAACTAACTACTAACTAACTAACTAACTACTAACTAACTAACTAACTAACTAACTAACTAACTAACACGAACTAACTAACTACTAACAACTAACTAACTAACTACTACTAACTACTACTAACTAACTAACTACCACTAACTAACTAACTACTAACTAACTAACTACTAACGTAAACTACTAACTAACTAACGAACTAACTAACTAACTAAAACTTAACTACAACTAACTAACTAACTAACTAACTAACTAACTAACTAACTAACTAACTACTAACTAACTACTACTAACTAAACTAACTAACTAACTAACCTAACTAACTAACTAACTAACTAACTAACTAACTAACTAACTAACTAACTAACTAACTAACTAACTAACTAACTAACTAACTACCTAACTAACTAACTAACTACCTACCAACCTAACTAACTAACTAACTATAGAAACATAAGTGGTTATGTGAATGCGAGTTTTTGCTTGGTAGTTGTTGTCAATTGGTTCTTATATCGGTAATTCACATGTGCAATGTTTGTATATCATTTGTAAAATGATTACATTAATAGATAAGAAGTTAATCCTTATATGTATGTAAATATGTATTTGCTAATATATACACTGAAATAATCTACTTCAGTCTTAAGTTCATTACAGTCTAGAAGAGTTGATCGAATCACATTTGACAGTCTATTAAATGAAAGCATTTAATAGTTTCATTTAATATTCTGTACATATAAATATAAATCTTAGTAGTAGAAGATTATTAAATAGGTACCTTGTAGAATCTATAGTATTTACAACAGACAGACAGGCAATCAGATTGGAGTGGCTAGACCGTTTTCCAACTAATAATCACAAATTAAGCTTTAAAATTGTACAAAATAAAATTATCTATGTTTTTGCTTAATTTATATCAGTGTGGAAGTTGAATAAGCAAAAACATTTCTCTGAAAATCCCAACATTAAGATTGCACGTAACGCTAATTTTAGAGAGATGTACCTTGTTTATAGTTCATAAAACACATTGAGATTTTATGAAGATTTTTAAATAATCAATTTATTTACAACTGTATTTTGGAGGATATTTTGTGAAATTCTGAATCGATATTGTTCGTTTTCAATAACAAGCATTACGCATCAATGGAGAATTTAAGCTCTTTAGCTCTTTTCCTTTTCTTTTTAGATCCGCCATAGATAGACGGACGGGCATAACGAAATCGGCTTAGAGTCGAAAAAGTACCCAGAATATATACAAATACTCTTGTGGGTGTAAGACCAATATATCAATTTGTTACAAACACAACAATACAGTTACTACTAGTTGATGGTGGGTAGCATGGTAGAATTCATCCTGGTGGTTCTAGTCTTTGCTATTTTTATAATTATATTAGCAAAGACAACAACAGATCAGGGTTGAATTTATTTCTCTTTGTATTTAACTTTTGTAATAGTAACTATAGAATATTTTTCTGCGTTTTTTTATTTTAAAAGAAAAATATGTCAGATAGGAGAAATTTGATTGAAGGAGAAATTTGTTATGCAGTCTATATACATATAGACTAGACTATAGACTAGACTATAGCCTAGACTATAGACTAGACTATAGCCTAGACTATAGACTAGACTATAGACTAGACTATAGACTAGACTATAGACTAGACTATAGACTAAACTATAGTCTAGACTATAGACTAAACTATAGGCTAGACTATAGACTAGACTATAGACTAGACTATAGACTAGACTATAGACTAGACTATAGACTAGACTATAGACTAGACTATAGACTAGACTATAGACTAGACTATAGACTAGACTATAGACTAGACTATAGATTAGACTATAGACTAGACTATAGACTAGACTATAGACTATAGACTAGACTATAGACTAGACTATAGACTAGACTATAGACTAGGCTATAGACTAGACTATAGACTAGACTATATACTAGACTACAGACTAGACTATAGACTAGACTATAGACTAGACTATAGACTAGACTATAGACTAGACTATAGACTAGACTATAGACTAGACTATAGACTAGACTATAGACTAGACTATAGACTAGACTATAGACTAGACTATAGACTAGACTATAGACTAGACTATAGACTAGACTATAGACTAGACTATAGACTAGACTATAGACTAGACTATAGACTAGACTATAGACTAGACCTATAGACTAGACTATAGACTAGACTATAGACTAGACTATAGACTAGACTATAGACTAGACTATAGACTAGACTATAGACTAGACTATAGACTAGACTATAGACTAGACTATAGACTAGACTATAGACTAGACTATAGACTAGACTATAGACTAGACTATAGACTAGACTATAGACTAGACTATAGACTAGGACTATAGACTAGACTATAGACTAGACTATAGACTAGACTATAGACTAGACTATAGACTAGACTATAGACTAGACTATAGACTAGACTATAGACTAGACTATAGACTAGACTATAGACTAGACTATAGACTAGACTATAGACTAGACTATAGACTAGACTATAGACTAGACTATAGACTAGACTATAGACTAGACTATAGACTAGACTATAGACTAGACTATAGACTAGACTATAGACTAGACTATAGACTAGACTATAGACTAGACTATAGACTAGACTATAGACTAGACTATAGACTAGACTATAGACTAGACTATAGACTAGACTATAGACTAGACTATAGACTAGACTATAGACTAGACTAGACTAGACTAGACTAGACTATAGACTAGACTATAGACTAGACTATAGACTAGACTATAGACTAGACTATAGACTAGACTATAGACTAGACTATAGACTAGACTATAGACTAGACTATAGACTAGACTATAGACTAGACTATAGACTAGACTATAGACTAGACTATAGACTAGACTATAGACTAGACTATAGACTAGACTATAGACTAGACTATAGACTAGACTATAGACTAGACTATAGACTAGACTATAGACTAGACTATAGACTAGACTATAGACTAGACTATAGACTAGACTATAGACTAGACTATAGACTAGACTATAGACTAGACTATAGACTAGACTATAGACTAGACTATAGACTAGACTATAGACTAGACTATAGACTAGACTATAGACTAGACTATAGACTAGACTATAGACTAGACTATAGACTAGACTATAGACTAGACTATAGACTAGACTATAGACTAGACTATAGACTAGACTATAGACTAGACTATAGACTAGACTATAGACTAGACTATAGACTAGACTATAGACTAGACTATAGACTAGACTATAGACTAGACTATAGACTAGACTATAGACTAGACTATAGACTAGACTATAGACTAGACTATAGACTAGACTATAGACTAGACTATAGACTAGACTATAGACTAACTAGACTACTAGACTAGACTATAGACTAGACTATAGACTAGACTATAGACTAGACTATAGACTAGACTATAGACTAGACTATAGACTAGACTATAGACTAGACTATAGACTAGACTATAGACTAGACTATAGACTAGACTAGACTAGACTAGACTAGACTATAGACTAGACTATAGACTAGACTATAGACTAGACTAGACTATAGACTAGACTAGACTATAGACTCCAAAAGTTATGGAATTAACAAAAAATTCACGTAAATTTACTTCTTATTACAAATTAATCAATCCCCATTAAAGGGTATTTCCTAAAATCATTCGGAGTATCATATTAATAACGATGTTTGACAAGCTTTTAATGGTGACTATATAAGATTAAGTTGTACGATAATGTTCTTAATTGTTTTAGAATAAATTCTCTTTTACGTGTGTTTGCTTTTTACAAAATTCTTTATTTGCTTTAGATTAATATTAAAATTCAAGCGTAAGATTTTAATTAAGCATTCATATATACGATCAGTGGCATATATACATTTATTAGGGAGTTTTATTTTTTCTATTAATAATTTAAACATAAAATATTCTCAGCTTTAAAGTTGATAACTAGAATTTTATTTAGTTTTTTAAACATTTCTATGGTTTAGCGGTTAAATAGAAATGTAAATATTGTTAATGTTTGTTTTGTTAATTATTTATTATAAACAATTAATAGTTGGACAATGACGACTATTGAAATCACTTTAGATCGAAGAGAATAATTAGAGACGAAGTCAAATTAAAAAAAAAAAGTTAAAACCCAGTCTAGTAAGTCTAGTACACAGAGGGAAAAGGAATATACACGCCTGGTACCAAATTGACACCAAAGAGTTTATAATTCTTCAATAACATCCGTTGTCAAAGTATATACATACGTTTTGTTTGTCAATAGTGAGCTTATCACGTTTGTTAACATTTAGACAACGGATGTGTATAAAATTTAGATTTCAACAACAAATTGTTGAAATGTTGTCAACATTACATAGTGCTGTTGTACGTATGTATGTATATACTTTGACAACGGATGGTATTGAAAAATTATAAACAGTTTGGTGTCAATTTGTTACCAGGCGTGTATATTTCCTTTTCCTTCTGTATAGAAATGGTATTTCACCAAATTATACATTCTGTGATATGTTTTTGAACTGAAACTAAAATCAGCTTAAATGTACTTTTTGTGATTCATAATTTTTCTTTTTCTCACAAATCAGGAGGTTTTGTAGGAATTGTACAATTTACACATGTTTTTTTTTCTAAGTGGTTAAACGAAAATGATGATAAGAAGACCACAATATGTTTGTGATAAAAGTTTTTATAAAATTTAGTGCAAATATAAATGTGTTAATTTTGTAAATAATTAAACATTAAAGTTTTAAACTTGAAACAATGAAGATCACACAAGTCTTCGTTATTTGCTGCTTATTACTGGGAACAGTATCAGGCTCACCCCAACTACACAAAGCCTCGGATGGCAGAGAATATCTCATCGAAACAGAACTTAAGGTAAGAAATACAGAAAATTTTTCTGAAATTTGTTTTATTAATGTTAGATATAAAACAATTTTCTAGTATAACTGGTATCAGGCTTGGCATGAATGTGCACGCAGAGATTTCCAACTTGTTATTATAGATAATGCAGCCAAAAATACTGCCATTATAAATCTGTTGAAAAGAGTCATAGGAAAATCCCATAATTTGTGGCTGGGTGGTAATGATGAATTTAGCTCTAGTCGAGACTATAAAAGACCCTTTTTCTGGTCCGCCACGGGCAAACAATTTACGTTTAGCTTTTGGTCCGACAACAATCCAGATAATTATCAAAATCAAGAACATTGTGTACACATCTGGGCCTCTAAACCCCTATATCAATGGAATGATGTGGGTTGCACTAATAAAATGGGTTTTATATGTGAAGTTAACCACTATAAAGAAACCTATAATAAGGATCTTAAGAATAAATGTGATGTGATTAAGAAAACCAGTTCTGGAATTGCCATTGAATTTGATCAAACGAAAAAGCAACAGTTATCGGAAATTGATAGTAAATTACAAAATATAGATCGTATGGGTGACGATTGGAAGATAAAGATGCAACAATTGCAAAATACTACACAAGCAGCAGTACAAAAACTGCTCGATGAACAACAGGTGAGCGTTAAGCAATTGACCGAGAAAATGCTGAAAGAAGTAAGCGATTTGAATGTGGAACTGAAGAAATCAGCTACGCAGCTAAGTTCACAATTTGGCGAAAAGTTAAATGTAAAACTTGATGAAATCAATAAAATCTGCTGATGTTATTAAAGATTTTCTATTATTTTCTTATAGGGTTCTTTCTCATTCCCTTGGAGTATAAACAATTTAATTGTTATTAAGCAGGGAGGCTAAAAGAACTGGTTTTAACGCTAGTTTTACAAAGAAACTTTGACTCATAATTAAGTTTTTTTTTTAAGAAAACAAATAAATAAATGATCACTAAATATTTAAGAAATTTTATTTAAGATCAGCATATAACCCCACAATAACATTTTCATGACTTGAAACCACCTTACCCTATGATCGTTGTAGCGTGCTAACTACTTAATTATTTGCTACTAGAGAAAACTGATCGCAAATCTATTCAACAGAAATTTCATTTATTATTTTGTTTTTTTTTGCAAAAGTATAAATACATATTCATATCTCAAGCCACTAAACATTTAAGTTCTAGACCTTTAAACATAAAGATGCTTAAAACGATCGCAGTGATCTTTATCATAAGCTTTGCTTTGCTACAGGCTGTGAGCGGTGATTCAAAGCTGTACAAAGCAAATGATGGTAAAGAGTATCTTATCGAAACAGAAGCAAAGGTAATTTAACCTTAAAAATTCCAAGAAAAGTAAAATAATTTAAAATAAATTTTACATAATATTCTAGTACAACTGGTATCAGGCCTGGCATGAATGTGCACGTAAAAATTTACAACTGGTTGCCATAGAAACGGAAGAAAAAAATAACGCCATTATCGATGTCTTAAAGAAAGTCGTGGGAAAACCACTTAACTTATGGCTGGGTGGTAATGATGAATTTAGTTCGAGTAGAGACTACAACCGTCCCTTCTATTGGTTCGCCACGGGTAAACAATTCTCGTTTACCTCTTGGTCACCCAATAATCCCGATAATGATCGCAAACGTGAACATTGTGTTCATTTCTGGGAAAAAAAACCTTATCAATGGAATGATATTGATTGTACTACACAAATGGGTTTTATATGTGAAGAGAATCATTATGCAGAAACCTATAACAAAGAAGTCACCCAAAAATGTGATGCCTTCAAACATTCAAGTTTATCAATCGCGCATGAATACGATCAGGTGTTTAAGCAACAAATAATGGAAATTAATCATAAAATCCAGAGTAGCAATCATGTGGCAGATGATTGGAAAGTAGAAATGCAACAATTGCAAAATACTACATTAGTTGCGGTGCAAAAAGTGCTCGATGATCAACATTTTATGGTGAAACAATTGACCGAGAAAATGCTTCATCAAGTCCATAGTATGAATGTTGAATTGGAAAAGTCTTCGTCTGCTATCAGTGCTATGTTTAGTGAAAAGTTGAGTGTGAAAGAGAATGAAATTAATAAAATATGTTAGATTTTTTTCGAAAGTTTTACGTGAGTTAAAAATTAATTGTTATTCATCAAATTAAAGTGATGCGATCTTGATAGACTCTGACGTCCATGTCAGCATGATTGACGAAATTGTTTAATTGGCGACAAATCAAGATCTTGATTTCACAGCTGGTAGTCGAGTTAGTTTTCTGCACCGTCTTGTACTCGTGAGATATCTAAACAGAGTTAACTCACCATGATTGGTGAGACTGGACTATAGACTAGACTATAGACTGGACTATAGACTGGACTATAGACTGGACTATAGACTAGACTATAGACTAGGGTTCTATAGTTGAAACGAAATGTCGACTTTTCGACTTTTTTCATTCAGTTGAAAATCGACTTTTCGACTTTTTGCATTTTATGAAAAGTCGATTTTTCGACTTTTCGACTTTTTTCATTTAATTAAAAGTCGACTTTTAGACTTTTCGACTATAAGTATTTTATAAATAGTCGACTTTTCATCTTTTTCCGACTTTTCGACTTTTTTCGACTTTTCGACCTTTTACGACTTTTTTCGACTTTTTTGACTTTTTCCGACTTTTCGACTTTTTCCGACTTTTTTTCGACTTTTTACGACTTTTTGACTTTCTTCGACTTTATTCGACTTATCGACTTTTTTTTCACAGACGATAGTCGAGTTATCGACTTTTTTGGAACAAAATAGTCGACTTCGAATTTTCGACTTTTTTCGACAAAAAGTTGATTGTTCGATTATTCGAAAGTCAATTTATAGAACCCTACTATAGATTAGACTATATACTAGACTATAGACTATAGACTAGACTATAGACTAGACTATAGACTAGACTAGACTAGACTATAGACTAGACTATAGACTAGACTATAGACTAGACTATAGACTAGACTATAGACTAGACTATAGACTAGACTATAGACTAGACTATAGACTAGACTATAGACTAGACTATAGACTAGACTATAGACTAGACTATAGACTAGACTATAGACTAGACTATAGACTAGACTATAGACTAGACTATAGACTAGACTATAGACTAGACTAGACTATAGACTAGACTATAGACTAGACTATAGACTAGACTATAGACTAGACTATAGACTAGACTATAGACTAGACTATAGACTAGACTATAGACTAGACTATAGACTAGACTATAGACTAGACTATAGACTAGACTATAGACTAGACTATAGACTAGACTATAGACTAGACTATAGACTAGACTATAGACTAGACTATAGACTAGACTATAGACTAGACTATAGACTAGACTATAGACTAGACTATAGACTAGACTAGACTAGACTATAGACTAGACTATAGACTAGACTATAGACTAGACTATAGACTAGATTATAGACTAGATTATAGACTAGATTATAGACTAGATTATAGACTAGACTATAGACTAGACTATAGACTAGACTAGACTAGACTATAGACTAGACTATAGACTAGACTATAGACTAGACTATAGACTAGACTATAGACTAGACTATAGACTAGACCATAGACTAGACTATAGACTAGACTATAGACTAGACCATAGACTAGACTATAGACTAGACTATAGACTAGACTGTAGACTAGACTATAGACTAGACTATAGACTAGACTATAGACTAGACTATAGACTAGACTATAGACTAGACTATAGACTAGACTATAGACTAGACTATAGACTAGACTATAGACTAGACTATAGACTAGACTATAGACTAGACTATAGACTAGACTATAGACTAGACTATAGACTAGACTATAGACTAGACTATAGACTAGACTATAGACTAGACTATAGACTAGACTATAGACTAGACTATAGACTAGACTATAGACTAGACTATAGACTAGACTATAGACTAGACTATAGACTAGACTATAAACTAGACTATAGACCAGACTATAGACTAGACTATAGACTAGACTGTAGACTAAACTATAGACTAGACTATATACAAGATTATAGACTAAACTATAGACTCGTCTATCGACTAGACTATAGACAAGCGAATCGACTAGACTATAGCCCAGTCAGCAGGCTAGTTTATAGTAAAGTCTATAGTTTAGCCTGAAGAGTAAACAATCAATAATATAACATCACAGTTCGATAAAATATCTTTTTCATAAACACTGTAAAGTAGTTAGACAAATTTCTAACCATAGATGGCGCAATTAATAGTAAGTAAGAGGTACTAGTTAGCCAAGACAGCAACCAAATCTCTTAAAATCATTTAACAACTTCAAAAATCGCATTGCCAGATAGTTTTAACTTCTCCCTTGTAATATAAAACTAACTTTTAAATTCCTTTTGATTATAGTTTATTTAAAATAATTAAAGTTAATTTTTTTTATAAACTTTTTGTTTAAAATAATAAAAACATATTAATTAGCAGTAAAATTTAGACTTATAGTTGCACTACAAAGTACCCTAATTTAAGGAGGGTTTACATGTTTTTGTTGGTTTATCTATATATAAATAAAGTACGTTTCATTTAAAGTAGTAGATTATTAAAAGGACTTTTGAAGCCCTTCTAGTTTTTTTCCCAGGAATTAACATACTTGCACTAATGCACCCGAACAAAGCTTTAACTCTCACTACAATATATCTTTCTTTATGCCTTACACTCCTTCACTTAGTAGTCTAATTGCCCGTCTTTGCTGTGGTCTTGTGCAAACGTTTCATTTCATTATAAAGCCTTAAAGCTAATTCTGCATTTGGGGCATATTGTCTAGAGGGCACATGATTATTGGCCTGCTTAGAAGGATCTATACAGGTTTTAACTAGTTTCATGAGATTTTTGGGAGTTTTGGCGGAGGCTAATAGACCGGGAAATAGGCCACCACCCTTTAGGATTTGATCACAAAATATTTGTAAATTATTGTTTTGTTGTACACCCGAACATATTAGTTTCTCCTGATCACATTTACCCATACAATAATGATAATTACAGTCCACATCTTCTTCACAGGGAGAGCCATTTGAGAGATGTTTATCGAGTTGTGTTTCCACAAACACATGTTCAGCATTTTCGTATTTTATTCTGTAACGGGAGATTAATATATTAATATAGCAAATATTTTTGTTTTGATCATGTTTGATCATACCTTTTATCACCCGTTACTCCAAAATTGCTTATTTTCATTTTACACATTCTCAAGGGCTCCGGTTTCATTTCATCCATTTTAAATACAAATTCCATAAGGCTTAAGGCAAACTTAAGACGCTTCTGCCAATCGAAAGAACTGCAAGTTAAATTTCTTTTCTATAAATTCCTTTTTCTTTTATACTTTATATCAAATGAAATCGTATCACATTTCGATCTATTTTGATATACAAAACATAACCTCTGTATTTCATGTTATACTTACATATATTGCAATAAAGTTTGTTCAGTTTTTAGTATATTCAAATTTTCGGTGGCATAATAGGGACCACATGAACCCAAGACTGTGGGAAATAAATTCTCCTCATCGTATAGTTTACTCATCATGTAGTTATTGTCTTTGAATAGTCTCCAAAAGTTTAACATTTGCTGGGGATTATTTTGATCGATTTCTTGATTTACTAGGGCTCGTATCTGAAAGATTGAAAAATTATTAAAAATTAAATATCCAGAACTTTTTTTTTTGATTATTTCAAATTTTCTTCAAATTATCTTGTTCTCTTGATAAATAAACTTCAATTAATTATTTTTTATGATCAATACAAAAAATGGCAAAAATGATCTTGGACCCTGCAATGAAACTATTAGGCCATTTGATAACTTAATAGGAAGCTTTTAGTCTTTGTTTTTAATATGGTCCACTTGTTAGTTAGTTCAGTTCTAGTTCAGTTCAGTTCTAGTTACAGTTCTAGTTCAGTTCTAGTTCAGTTCTAGTTCAGTTCTAGTTCAGTTCTAGTTCAGTTCTAGTTCAGTTCTAGTTCAGTTCTAGTTCAGTTCTAGTTCAGTTCTAGTTCTAGTTCAGTTCTAGTTCAGTTCTAGTTCAGTTCTAGTTCAGTTCTAGTTCAGTTCTAGTTCAGTTCTAGTTCAGTTCTAGTTCAGTTCTAGTTCAGTTCTAGTTCAGTTCTAGTTCAGTTATAGTTCAGTTCTAGTCAGTTCTAGTTCAGTTCTAGTTCAGTTCTAGTTCAGTTCTAGTTCAGTTCTAGTTCAGTTCTAGTTCAGTTCTAGTTCAGTTCTAGTTCAGTTCTAGTTCAGTTCTAGTTCAGTTCTAGTTCAGTTCTAGTTCAGTTCTAGTTCAGTTCTAGTTCAGTTCTAGTTCAGTTCTAGTTCAGTTCTAGTTCAGTTCTAGTTCAGTTCTAGTTCAGTTAGTCAGTTCTAGTTCAGTTCTAGTTCAGTTCTAGTTCAGTTTCTAGATCAGTTCTAGTTCAGTTCTAGTTCAGATCTAGTCAGTTTAGTTCAGTTCTAGTTCAGTTCTAGTTCAGTTCTAGTTCAGTCTAGTTCAGTTCTAGTTCAGTTCTAGTTCAGTTCTAGTTCAGTTCTAGTTCAGTTCTAGTTCAGTTCTAGTTCAGTTCTAGTTCAGTTCTAGTTCAGTTCTAGTTCAGTTCTAGTTCAGTTCTAGTTCAGTTCTAGTTCAGTTCTAGTTCAGTTCTAGTTCAGTTCTAGTTCAGTTCTAGTTCAGTCTAGTTCTAGTTCAGTTCTAGTTCAGTTCTAGTTCAGTTCTAGTTCAGTTCTAGTTCAGTTCTAGTTCAGTTCTAGTTCAGTTCTAGTTCAGTTCTAGTTCAGTTCTAGTTCAGTTCTAGTTCAGTTCTAGTTCAGTTCTAGTTCAGTTCTAGTTCAGTTCTAGTTCAGTTCTAGTTCAGTTCTAGTTCAGTTCTAGTTCAGTTCTAGTTCAGTTCTAGTTCAGTTCTAGTTCAGTTCTAGTTCAGTTCTAGTTCAGTTCTAGTTCAGTTCTAGTTCAGTTCTAGTTCAGTTCTAGTTCAGTTCTAGTTCAGTTCTAGTTCAGTTCTAGTTCAGTTCTAGTTCAGTTCTAGTTCAGTTCTAGTTCAGTTCTAGTTCAGTTCTAGTTCAGTTCTAGTTCAGTTCTAGTCAGTTCTAGTTCAGTTCTAGTTCAGTTCTAGTTCAGTTCTAGTTCAGTTCTAGTTCAGTTCTAGTTCAGTTTCTAGTTCAGTTCTAGTTCAGTTTCTAGTTCAGTTCTAGTTCAGTTCTAGTTCAGTTCTAGTTCAGTTCTAGTTCAGTTCTAGTTCAGTTCTAGTTCGTTCTAGTTCAGTTCTAGTTCAGTTTTAGTTCAGTTCTAGTTCAGTTCTAGTTCAGTTCTAGTTCAGTTCTAGTTCAGTTCTAGTTCAGTTCTAGTTCAGTTCTAGTTTAGTTCTAGTTCAGTTCTAGTTCAGTTCTAGTTCAGTTCTAGTTCAGTTCTAGTTCAGTTCTAGTTCAGTTCTAGTTCAGTTCTAGTTCAGTTCTAGTTCAGTTCTAGTTCAGTTCTAGTTCTAGTTCAGTTTAGTTCAGTTCTAGTTCAGTTCTAGTTCAGTTCTAGTTCAGTTCTAGTTCAGTTCTAGTTCAGTTCTAGTTCAGTTCTAGTTCAGTTCTAGTTCAGTTCTAGTTCAGTTCTAGTTCAGTTCTAGTTCAGTTCTAGTTCAGTTCTAGTTCAGTTCTAGTTCAGTTCTAGTTCAGTTCTAGTTCAGTTCTCGTTCAGTTCTCGTTCAGTTCTCGTTCAGTTCTCGTTCAGTTCTAGTTCAGTTCTCGTTCAGTTCTAGTTCAGTTCTTAGTTCAGTTCTAGTTCAGTTCTAGTTCAGTTCTAGTTCAGTTCTAGATCAGTTCTAGATCAGTTCTAGATCAGTTCTAGTTCTAGTTCAGTTCTTGTTCAGTTCTTGTTCAGTTCTTGTTCAATTCTAGTTCAATTCTAGTTCATAGCTTTTTTTTGCTAGCATCGCTTTTTTTTATAAAATAATTAGTTGCTAATCTAAAAATATAATTTCCCACATACCATATTATCATCCAGTGTTACATTATACGTCAAAGTGATATGCATTTTAACAATATGATGGAAGTTTTCTATTTTTGGATAAACCTGTTCGCCGTGTCTATTCACCCAACTTAAATCGTCCTTTATATGGCGAGCCAACTGTGAAACAGAAATGTTTATTTTTAATATTTACTCAATCTAAATTTAACTTCCTCTTACCTTAATGGCATAGACATCACCATTTTTCTCCGCTGTAAACATAATGGTGCTCATATCATTTTGAGGACATTTAAAGGATTTAAAGGACTGTTCATTCGTACACAATTCCTCACATAGCGAACCACTGTATTCATAATTTTTGTACTTTTTACACTAATTTATAAAATAAATAATTATTTAATTTTCTTTGGTCTTCACATAATAACTTACCATATAAGTTAAGCTATTTTGTGACATGATTTTATAGCAAAATTCCAAATTCATATAGGACACCACCAGCATGAAGATGCCTGCTAAAATGGCCAGCAGGATTAAACGTTGCAGCAAAGTGCGAAATCTTCGTTTAAATGCATTTAACATTTTTATTGTGTTTTTTCTTTGTTTTGTGGTTTAATTTATAATATTTTTGTTTATTTAAATTTTTCTTGACAAATTTTTCAACTTATTTTTTCACATTTTGTCTCTACAAGGATTGTTTGTCTAATGAGAACAGGATTCTTACTTTTCTCCTTTTTTGTTTTGTTGGTAGGTATTTGTAGTTAGTGGCAGCAGTATTGTCACTTGTTTATGTTTGATTTTTAAATTTTCCTCGTGTTTTCCTTTTTTTGTTTATCTGCATTGTTGTTTTTTACATTTTACCCTTGCATACTATAGTATGTTTACATTTTGTTAAAACAGTACTTTCACAATTATGCTGGTTTGTAAATAAACCGGAAATAGGTTAGAAAGAAGTTAAAAATTAATATCTTATATAAATTATTTCGAAATTATAAATTTTTCCTCATTTCTGGTACTATTGAGAATAATTTTAATTAACATGTATTTTTAAAATTATAATAACTTTTTTGATGTTAAAGTAATAGAAATGTTCATTACTCACAATCATGATTGAACTGTTAAGAAAAAGAACAAGAAGTTGTAAGGATTCTGCGCAGTATGTGAAAACAGTGGTGGCTTTGTGTAAAGGGCAGTAAATTAACTTGTTAGCTAGAGTGCAAAGCAGCTAACTCCGCTTTTGAAATTTTTATGTAGATGATATTAGTGTGGCTCAGGTTGATGTTCTAGGTGGTCAAAGTCAACTAACGACTAACCTAACAATAACTAACTAACTAACTAACGAACTAACCTAACTAACTAACTAACGAACTAGATAACTAACTAACTAACCTAACTTAACTAACTAAACGAACTAACTAACTAACTAAACGAATAACTAACTAACTAACTAACTAACTAACTAACTAACTAACTAACTAACTAACTAACTACTAAACTAACTAACCTAAATAACTAACGAACTAACTAACAACTAACTAACTAACTAACGCACTAACTACTAACTAACTAACTAACTAACGAACTAACTACTAACTTAACCTAACTAACTACTAACTTAACTAACGAAACTAACTAACTAACTAACTAACTAACTAACTAACTAACTACCTAACGAACTAACTAACTAACTAACTAACTAACTAACTAACTAACTAACTCTACTAACTACTAACTAACTAACTAACTAACTAACTAACTAACTAACTAACTAACTAACTAACTAACTAACTAACTAACTAACTAACTAACTAACTAACTAACTAACTAACTAACTAACTAACTAACTAACTAACTACTAACTAACTAACTAACTAACTAAACTAACTAACTAACTAACTAACTAACTACTACTAACTAACTAACTACTAACTAACTAACTAACTACTAACTAACTAACTAACTAACTAACTAACTACTAACTAACTAACTAACTAACTAACTAACTAACTAACTAACTAACTAACTAACTAACTACTAACTAACTAACTAACTAACTAACTAACTAACTACTAACTAACTAACTAACTAACACTAACTAACTAACTAACTAACTAACTAACTAACTAACTAACTAACTAACTAACTAACTAACTAACTAACTAACTAACGAACTAACTAACTAACTAACTACTAACTAACTAACTAACTAACTAACTAACTAACTAACTAACTAACTAACTAACTAACTAACTAACTAACTAACTAACTAACTAACTAACTAACTAACTAACTAACTAACTAACTAACTAACTAACTAACTAACTACTAACTAACTAACTAACTAACTAACTAACTAACTAACTAACTAACTAACTAACTAACTAACTAACTAACTAACTAACTACTAACTAACTAACTAACTAACTAACTAACTAACTAACTAACTACTACTAACTAACTAACTAACTACTAACTAACTAACTAACTAACTACTAACTAACTAACTAACTAACTAACTAACTAACTAACTACTAACTAACTAACTAACTAACTACTAACTAACTAACTAACTACTAACTAACTAACTAACTAACTAACTAACTAACTAACTAACTAACTACTAACTAACTAACTAACTAACTAACTAACTAACTAACTACTACTAATACTAACTAACTAACTAACTAACTACTAACTAACTAACTAACTAACTAACTAACTAACTAACTAACTAACTAACTAACTAACTAACTAACTAACTAACTAACTAACTAACTAACTAACTAACTAACTAACTAACTAACTAACTAACTAACTAACTAACTAACTAACTAACTAACTACTAACTAACTAACTACTAACTAACTAACTAACTAACTAACTAACTAACTAACTAACTAACTAACTAACTAACTAACTAACTAACTAACTAACTAACTAACTAACTAACTAACTAACTAACTAACTAACTAACTAACTAACTAACTAACTAACTAACTAACTAACTAACTAACTAACTACTAACTAACTAAACTAACTAACTAACTATACTAACTAACTAACTAACTACTAACTAACTAACTAACTAACTAACTAACTAACTAACTAACTAACTAACTAACTAACTAACGAACTAACTAACTAACTAACTAACTAACTAACTAACTAACTAACTAACTAACTAACTAACTAACTAACTAACTAACTACTAACTAACTAACTAACTAACTAACTAACTAACTAACTAACTAACTAACTAACTAACTAACTAACTAACTAACAACTAACTAACTAACTAACTAACTACTAACTAACTAACTAACTAACTAACTACTAACTATAACTAACTAATACTAACTACTAACTACCTAACTAACTAACTAACTACTAACTACTAACTAAACTAACTACTAACTAACTAACTAACTAAACTAACTAACTAACTAACTAACTAACTAACTAACTACTAACTAACTAACTAACTAACTAACTAACTACTAACTAACTAACTAACTAACTAACTAACTAACTAACTAACTAACTAACTAACTAACTAACTAACTAACTACTAACTAGCTACTAACTAACTAACTAACTACTAACTACTAACTAACTAGCTAACAACTACTACTAACTAACTAACTACTCTACTAACTAACTACTAACTAACAAACAACAAACTAACTAACTACTAACTAACTAACTAACTAACTAACAAACAAACTAACTAACTAACTACTAACTAAACTAACTACTAACTAACTAACTACTACCTAACTAACTAACTAACTAACTTTGTACTGAACTTAGAACTGAACTAGAACTGACCTAAAACTGAACTGGAACTGAACTAGAACGTAACACATATAAATTTTTTTTGTTATGAAAACCCTAAAATCGGTCATAGATGTTTAAAAAACGCTCCAATTAAGAAAATGGAGAAAATCTATGGTCACTCATAGTTTCCACCAAGAGTCGGTTTTTATATGGAAAAACTAAAATCGGCCGTTGATTCTTAAATAACGCTCTAATTGAGAAAATAGTGAAAATCTGTGATCACTCATAATTCCCATCAAATATTGCCATTCATATGAAAAACATAAAATCGGCCGTAGATTCTTATATAAAGCAGCAGTTAAGAAAATAATAGATTTTTGTATGAAAAACTATCTAAACTATCTCTTAATATTTGCACATTGATTCAAATGCTTATCCATAACACTTATACATAAATTCTTTGGATTTTCATTTACTTTTGCAGTGAAGAAAAATTTCTGATTACTTATTTCATAAAAATACTTAATAATAGTAATATTATTACAACAATAAACTATAATTAAAAAATGCAATTAATTACACAAGAACTTTAATAATAGTGTTAAAAGTTATATAAAAACTACAACTTGCGATAGAAATCCTATAGTTTTACTTTAGTAAAGTTCGAGAAAAGTCTTGTTTAAGTAAAAAAAAGAGAAGAAAAATGGAAACTAACGGAAAATCTCAAAAACTGCCTGCAGTTAAAAGTCCAAAAAAGAAGTTAAATATACGCGATTTCTATATAACGCCCTTCCGATTCTATACGTTTGTGGGCGTTAAACTTTTTCATTGGGATGAATTCGACATAATGACGAAATGGCAAAAGTTTGTTTTAACCGTGACAATTGCGAATTTAATTTTTAGCTTTACTTGGAAAATTTTTTACGTAATGGTGGATGAATTCGAGAGTACGGTGCAGATGACCGAATGGTTTTTGTATATATCATTTGCAGCAAATGGATTTTTCAAAACCCTCTCTGTTGTCTGGGGACGCAAAATTTTGGATCGTGTTTTAAAGACTTTGGGAAGATTATTTCCGCGTAATGCCAAGGAATGTAAAGATTTTAAATTAAATGAAGGTTACGACTTTATTCATTATCACTCACGTATTATGGTATATAGTCACTGGACCATAGCTTTTATGTTTATGCTTTTTCCCCTGGTGCAGTCGGGTGTGGAGTTTATACAGACGAGAGTATATGTGCAAAGACTTCCCTATATACTGGCCTATCCGTTCGATACCTCTCCTAAACCGGTATATATTTTCTGTTATGTTACACAATTTATGGCTGGTTTCGTCTTGTCGTGTTATTTCTTGGGTTCCGATACTTTGTTGCTTCATACGGTTTATATGGTGGTTTTAAACTTTGAATACTTATGCTTTCGCATTGTGCACTTTGAACCGAAGAATTATGAACAGGATATGACGGAAATTAAGGATGTTTTGGAAAAGCATTATCTATTGAATGAGTAATTGAGAATGTTCTCTTCGGTAAATAAAAAATTTAAAATATTCAAATTATTTTACAGTTTAGCTCAAGCCGTCAACAACGTTTTCAGTTTATCGATACTGATGAACTATATGATCTCGATTATGGTTATTGTATTGATCGGTGTGCAGATTATAACCGGTTCTGAATTGTTTGATTTCATAAAATTTGGTGGATTTTTTGCATCTGCCACCATACAAGTGTATTATGTTTGTCTAATGAGCACTCTACTAATGGAACGAGTAAGTTAAATCCAAAATTCATTTTGCCTTCTAATGTATTAATTGGTTTGCATCATAGAGTACAAGTGTGGGTGAGTCTTTGATGGGCCAGAAATGGTATATGGCAGATGTTCGTTATCAACGCATGTTAACCTTGGCCATCGCTCGATCTCAGAGACCAGCTCATTTAACCGCTTTTAAATTCTTTATGATTTCTATGGAAAGTTTTTCCAATGTAAGTTTAACTCCTCAGACATACATAGGTATTCTTGAAGCAATAAATTTGTGTGTTTTTTTATTTTGTTAGCTAATGACAACTGCATATCAATTTTTCACTTTACTCCAATCTCGCATGGAAGAGGGTGGCCTTTAAAAGGAAAACAAAAAAGCTTGATTTTTAAATTAAAATTTTATGAAGTGACACTTAATTGCACCATTATGGCACCTAGGTGGAATCTAATGCGGTCTGTATTAAATTTCTGGAGAATGATATGATTTCTGTTTGTAATAACTTGGTTTGATGTACTCAAATAATATGATGAGCATTGGAAGTTTGTTTTTTTTGGCACCATAACAATTTAAATAAATAAAGCACCCTGAGTTTTTTGAAAATTAATAGTAAGTCGGACATGGTCATATGGGTATATAATTTCATTTCTGTTGATTTTTTTCTTGGTCTTGTTATATTTAATCAATTTATTGATGAACAAATAATTTTCTGAAAAAGGCTATATATGGGGTCTCGGGATATATATGGAGCGATCCGCATAAAATTTGAAGGGATCAACGTTTATATACAAGCGTGTATAAGGGATGGTGGGCATTCATATGGGGATTTTATTACGCGAATGGGGAAAAATTTATTTGTACCAGTTTTTGTCGAGATCATATACTGGTGTAGGGTATTATGATAATTCACAGACCGATTATCTAGAACACAACTAAAAGAGAACTAAAAGACGTTCAACTGAACTAGAACTGAACTAGAACTGAACTAGAACTAGAACTAGAAACTGAACTAGAACTGAACTAGAACTGAAACTAGAACTGAACTAGAACTGAACTAGAACTGAACTAGAACTGAACTAGAACTGAACTAGAACTGAACTAGAACTGAACTAGAACTGACTAGAACTGAACTAGAACTGAACTAGAACTGAACTAGAACGAACTAGAACTGACTAGAACTGAACTGAACTGACTAGAACTGAACTAGAACTGAACTAGAACTGAACTAGAACTGAACTAGAACTGAACTAGAACTGAACTAGAACTGAACTAGAACTGAACTAGAACTGAACTAGAACTGAACTAGAACTGAACTAGAACTGAACTAGAACTGAACTAGAACTGAACTAGAACTGAACTAGAACTGAACTAGAACTGAACTAGAACTGAACTAGAACTGAACTAGAACTGAACTAGAACTGAACTAGAACTGAACTAGAACTGAACTAGAACTGAACTAGAACTGAACTAGAACTGAACTAGAACTGAACTAGAACTGAACTAGAACTGAACTAGAACTGAACTAGAACTGAACTAGAACTGAACTAGAACTGAACTAGAACTGAACTAGAACTGAACTAGAACTGAACTAGAACTGAACTAGAACTGAACTAGAACTGAACTAGAACTGAACTAGAACTGAACTAGAACTGAACTAGAACTGAACTAGAACTGAACTAGAACTGAACTAGAACTGAACTAGAACTGAACTAGAACTGAACTAGAACTGAACTAGAACTGAACTAGAACTGAACTAGAACTGAACTAGAACTGAACTAGAACTGAACTAGAACTGAACTAGAACTGACTATAACTGAACTAGAACTGAACTAGAACTGAACTAGAACTGAACTAGAACTGAACTAGAACTGAACTAGAACTGAACTAGAAACTGAACTAGAACTGAACTAGAACTGAACTAGAACTGAACTAGAACTGAACTAGAACTGAACTAGAACTGAACTAGAACTGAACTAGAACTGAACTAGAACTGAACTAGAACTGAACTAGAACTGAACTAGAACTGAACTAGAACTGAACTAGAACTGAACTAGAACTGAACTAGAACTGAACTAGAACTGAACTAGAACTGAACTAGAACGAAAAACTGAACTAGAACTGAACTAGAACTGAACTAGAACTGAACTAGAACTGAACTAGAACTGAACTAGAACTGAACTAGAACTGAACTAGAACTGAACTAGAACTGAACTAGAACTGAACTAGAACTGAACTAGAACTGAACTAACTGAACTAACTGAACTAGAACTGAACTAGAACTGAACTAGAACTGAACTAGAACTGAACTAGAACTGAACTAGAACTGAACTAGAACTGAACTAGAACTGAACTAGAACTGAACTAGAACTGAACTAGAACTAGAACTAGAACTAGAACTGAACTAGAACTAGAACTAGAACTGAACTAGAACTGAACTAGAACTGAACTAGAACTGAACTAGAACTGAACTAGAACTGAACTGGAACTGAACTAGACTAGAACTGAACTAGAACTGAACTAGAACTGAACTAGAACTGAACTAGAACTGAACTAGAACTGAACTAGAACTGAACTAGAACTAGAACTGAACTAGAACTGAACTAGAATAACTAACTAGAACTGAACTAGAACTGAACTAGAACTGAACTAGAACTGAACTAGAACTGAACTAGAACTGAACTAGAACTGAACTGAACTAGAACTGAACTAGAACTGAACTAGAACTGAACTAGAACTGAACTAGAACTAGAACTGAACTAGAACTGAACTAGAACTGAACTAGAACTGAACTAGAACTGAACTAGAACTGAACTAGAAACTGAACTAAAGAACTGAACTAGAACTAACTGAACTAAACTGAACTAGAACTGAACTAGAACTGAACTAGAACTGAACTAGAACTGAACTAGAACTGAACTAGAACTGAACTAAACTGAACTAGAACTGAACTAGAACTGAACTAGAACTGAACTAGAACTGAACTAGAACTGAACTAGAACTGAACTAGAACTGAACTAGAACTGAACTAGAACTGAACTAGAACTGAACTAGAACTGAACTAGAACTGAACTAGAACTGAACTAGAACTGAACTAGAACTGAACTAGAACTGAACTAGAACTAGAACTGAACTAGAACTGAACTAGAACTGAACTAGAACTGAACTAGAACTGAACTGAACTGAAGAACTGAACTAGAACTGAACTAGAACTGAACTAGAACTGAACTAGAACTGAACTAGAACTGAACTAGAACTGAACTAGAACTGAACTAGAACTGAACTAGAACTGAACTGAACTAGAACTGAACTAGAACTGAACTAGAACTGTACTAGAACTGAACTAGAATCAAACTAGAACTGAATTAGAATTAATAGAGAACTTATTTAGAAGTGGACTGTAAGTGATTTAAAACTGATTTAGTATTGATTTATAACTAATCTAAAACTGATTTAGTTGTTTCAAATATCTTTAATTAAAACACAATTCCAGTTTTTTTTTATTAATTTTTTTAATTTATTTTCTTCATTTTCTTTTTTGTAATCTTAACGTTTATTTTTATTATTTTTTCGTTACTTGTTGTTGTTTTTTCACATGTTGTTTTTTTTTGTTTTGTTATAATTGCTATTATTAATTATTTCTTTTTAATTTTATTTGAGCAAAATTATTTGTTTTTTTTTTTTTTTGTTAATAATTATTTTTATTTTAATATTTATTTTTCATGTTACTGTTTATTTTTCATATTTTATTTGTTTTGTTTTATAATTAATTGTATAATTCAATATTTTTTTAAACGTTTTTCTCCTTTTTGTCAATAATTTTTCGTGTAACTAAAAAAATGAATAATATTCATTCTTAATATTATTATTATTTTTTTGTTTTTGGTTTAATTAAATATATTTTCTTATTGTATGTATTACAATTATAATTTTATGTTTATTTTTGCAGTTTTTTGAGTTAAATATTTATAAATATTTCTTTTTTTTTTTTATTTTGGTTTAATTATTTATTTTCGTTATTTAATGATTTTCATTATGGGAGAGTTTTTAAGTATGTGTGTGTAAGTATGTTTGCATGATTATTTTTTTTAAGAATATTTTTAGTGTTAATGAGGCGATTTTGAAAGAGTTATAGAAAAAAACACTATAATATGAATATGTGGTAAATTTTTTTTGAAATTTTATTAAAATTTTTGAAATTTTAAAAATATGTGTTTTTCCTAAAACTCTTTGAATTGATTAAGTCACAAATGTTGTTGTTGTTTTGTTATTATTATGCTTTAATTTTTAAATGTAATTCGTTAATTTTTCTTTTTCATGTGAAGATTGTTCTTTCAATTATTAATAGAGGTAATTAAATATAAAAAAAAATTAAGTTAACTTAATTAAAAAAATAATAATATATTTCTACTGTTAATTATGTACAAAAACTAAAATTAGTTTTTTTTTTTATAAATGTGCTGGTTTTATCGCTGTTTTTAATGTTCTTAATTTGTATGATGTTGTTTTTTTTTTATTTTTTTTTGTTTAAATTTAGAAATCAGTAGTGTTGTTGTTTTTAACTTTTTGTCGTAATTTATCTTTAATTTTATACTAACTTTATAACTATTTTAGAATTCTGTTTTCAACTTACTTTACTAATTTATTTCTTCTTATATATTAGGTTTTTAATTTTTTTATTTTAATTATTTTTTATAGCTAATTTTTTTATAAATATTTTTTGTTGTTGTTAAAAATTGTATGTCTTTAATTTGCATATGAGTATTTTTTCCTATTGGTTTTTAATATTTTTAATATTTTTATGTATTTATATTAATTTGTTTTATATATACAAAAGAAAAGTAAATTTAATATAGTTTTTTTGTTAATTTTGGGGTTAATAACTTGGTTTGGAGGAGTTTGGTTGATTCTTTAATAATTGGGTTTGAAAATGAATCTGAAATTTCTAAATGGTTGCTTTGATCCTGATCAAGTTTAAATTTTAAAAATCAAGTTTTAATTTTAAAAATGTATCTCACAAAACCTCCAAGGGCGGGGCAGAGGGTGCTTAAACTTCAACTATTTTCAATACTCTTCATCATTAGGTCCAAAAACATATAAGGTCCTAATTTCAACAAATTATTTAGAAAATTTCTGCCCTTGAGCATAAGGTTAACATGAACAGCTTAATATGAATGGCTTAATCGGCTCAGATTCTTAGGTATACTTTAAGGTGCGAGTGGGACCAATATTTTTGGTAATCGGCTCAGATTCTGAGTCGTTCGGTATACTCTGAGGTGGGTGTAGGGCCAATATTTTTGCGCATTACAAACTCCAGCATAAACCCATAGTACCCTTCCGCACCCATAATACCCTCCCCACTAAATA